GGGGGGGGGGGGGGGGGGGGGGGGGGGGGGGGGACACTCACCTGGTGTGGGCTGTCAGGGTCAGGACGGTGTTCAGAGAGTCTCTGATCCAGGCGGCCACTCCCAGCACACATGCTGACATCAGCTGGAGACACACACACACACGCACACGCACACACACACACAAATAAACACACATGGATCAGTTTCTGCTGCCCACAAATAACATCTCAGAATGTCAGACATGCTCTCAGACAGACAGACAGACAGACAGACAGACAGACTCATGGCAGCCTACTTTACTAAAAACTTCAAGATTTCTGTAAACTAACTGTAAACTTTACCCTGAACTGCTCACCTTAACTTCCATGAACACATTTCACTGAAAACATTATTTTTTACTGTAGACATCAACTTCAGCTGCAAACTGCAACTGCAAATTTCAGCTGCAAACTTTAACTTCAACTGCAAACTTCAACTTCAGCTGCAAACTGCAGCTGTAAACTCTCACTGCAAACTTTAAGTTTAACTGTAAACTTGAATTTTCAAAGCAAACTTAAAGGTAATTAAATGTTCTGTGTTCACCTTCTACAGAGGGACACATCAGGTCAAAGTGTGGCTCAGATTCAGTTTGTAACTTCCTCCGTTTTTAATGTGACACGAAACATCTTCAACATGTTCATGTGAAAACCTGACCTGAAATGACTCTGTGTGTGAGACAGCTGTTTCCATGTGTGATGTTTCACATTTCACATGTCAAATATCTCAAAATCCCAAATGTCTGTGTGTCAGATTATTACACACACACACACACACACACACACACAGTTTCTCAGAGTGCACCGTGTGAGGTCATCACGTTTGAAACATTTCAAAATGATTTCACATGTTAAACTGAGTGACGTCACACATCCGACATGTGAAACCAACATCAGTCATTTGATTTAATCTCGTCTCTGTATTTGAATTCATGTCATGTTTAAACCACACGTGCATTAAAGTGAATTCATCCCAGTGACATGTGATGATGTCACATCGAGGCTCGTGCAGTTTTCACATGTGGAGTGTCATCATTTACACGTCACGTTCTGTTTGAATCTCCTCTGTAAAGACACATGTAGCTGACAGGTAACCATCAGATTATACACGTCATCCAGCAGCTGCTCGCTCACCCAGAACAGCAGGTTGAGCGCGTAGAGCAGACAGCGCAGACACCTCACCGCGTCCTCCCGAGCCATCCCGACCGGAGCTCCGCCGTCCGGCTCATCTGAGCCCGGGACACCATGGCAACATGCTCACTGCAAACACACAACACGGAGCGTGGAGACACGGCAGTGCAGATTATCACTCATTAGAGAGGAGCCTCTTCTCAGAAACTGCGTCTGCTCCGTGCGTAAAAGCCGCATTCCGCTGCCTGCGCGTCTCCACTCGGCTCAGTCCGGAGTCTGGTTTCAGCAGCTCGGGTTTATCCGTGAGAAGCTCCAGGAAACTTCCACAACAGGTGGTTTCTTACTTTCCCTCAGCCCCGCCGGGATGATGGAGTGTGCGGAGCAGCGCGCAGCGGCGGCGCTGACATTTCCAAATCAATCATCACTCACGGAGCGGGACGCGGCATGAAAACGCACCGTGCGGGTCACGTTAATGACGCGTTCTTCCGCAGAGTTACGAGTTGACAGGACTCTGCTTAGACGATCCAAAACTGTGAGCGAAACTCCCCCGCTGAAAAACACAACCTTTAAAATGAAAAGCTTTAAACCATCCAGCAGAGTGAGATAAATCCTCTCCAACGCGCTCCACAGCGACAACTTTGTGAGTAAACGTTTCCTCCGCTGCGTCAAAGCTCCAAACGGCCGAGCTGCGGTTCTCTGTGTCGGCTGTGAGTGTAGCCGGAGCCCGGGGCAGTGTGGAGGGGGCGGTGCGCTGTCCCGTCCCGTCCTGCCGCTTCTTCTTCTTCCTCCTCACTAATTAAATGCGCACAGCAGCAGCAGCAGCCTCCCTCCTCCTCCTCCTCCTCCTCCTCCTCCTCCTCCTCCTCCCCTCTCCTTCCCCCGTCAGTCAGTGAGTCCTGGGGGAGGACAGAGGAATGTGTCCGCCTCCAGCCGCAGAGCCGCGGGGTCAGCAGGCCAGCAGGCTGAGAGTGTTGTTGTGTTGAAGAGGATGAAGCTGCGCAGACACACGGAGGCCTCTGCTGGCAGACAGAAGGGGGACACACTGAGACAGACAGAGACAGTCAGGAGGACAAACAGACAAGGGGACAGGGGCTGGAAACTCTGTGTGTACCGACGGACACAGCTCCATACACAGACTGTGTGGACACAAAGTATCACATAACTTATTTCCTGTCCACATACTTTTGGACACCAGTTTGTGGACTCAAACTTCTACATAAATAAACTACATGGCCAAAAGTATGTGGACACAAACTGCCGTTTATTTATCTAGTTTTTGTCCACATACTTATGGCCAAAAGACCCAAACCACTGGATAGGTGGTGTGTTGTGTCCATATAATTCTGGTCATAAGTTTGCGGACACAAACTAATAAATAATGAAGGATGTGGCCAAAAGTTTAAGGACATCGCCAACTGACTGGCCAGAAGTATGTGGACACAAACTAATGTGTGTCTAGGAGTTTGTGTCCACATACTTATGGCCAAAAATATAGACTATACTGGATAGGTGGTATTTTGTGTCCACTTACTTTTGGACATCTTTATGTGCACACAATTAAATCAATAAAAGTGTGCACACAAAGTGCTCGATATATAGAGTATTTGGCCATAAGTATGTGGACAGAACCTTCTGTCTATCTAGGAGTTAGACGTGAGTGAACACCAGTGTGAGCATGAATCACCTGAGTAAAGTCATGTGTTCATAAATTAACCCGAGCTGACTTTATGTTTTAATGTCAGGCTGAAGAAAAGAAAAACATTTACTCACTTTAATAATCACATTTAATTATTATTATTATTATTATTATTATTCATTATTGTGCAGCAGACAGTTTCTGACGGACAGTCTTTTAATCTGAAAATATTTAAAATAATTATTATAGTACGAGCCATTGAAGGAGCTGCAGGGTTTGTCACATGAAGTTATGTCAACAACAAATTGTTCCTATGATGCAAATATACTTTTTAAAAATGTATTTATTCATTTATTTTAATTTATTGCTGCAAAATCAAAACAGTGGCGACATTACAAGGACAAAACTGAAATATATATTTGTATACACACACAGTGGCGCAAAAAGTGGGTATGCACTATATGCGGCGCATAGGGGCGCCGCGCTAGAGGGGGCGCCAAAGCGATGAGGGGACAATTATTTCCAGTCGGCATTTTCTGTATTTAACAGCTGTTTGTGCATGTGTAAATGATATGATCAATAACAGAGGCACGTCACTGATTAGACGCCCCTCCGCTCCTTCACCTCCCCTTTGGAGTCTTGGCCTTTAAATCCGTCATAATACTGAACGTTTTTTATCGTGATCTGTGGATTTACTCTATTCACTGAACTACTGAGGCACCTGAAGTAAGAATAGAAGAGTGTAGATCAAGTAAATAATGTGTAGATTCTTATTTGTGCATTTAGATGGCAGGCGGACCTAAAGGGAGAAAAAAGGGCTTAGACCTCTGAGGGTTTTTAACTAGATGGTGAATCATAAAACAGATAAATTATAGAACTTGGGAGTGATACACTTGAGTTTAAATGTCTTCACTCGGATATAACACTACAGTGTTATATCAGTTCAGTTCATATACAGTTCTTGTATGAGCAATGATCGCTTGACCCAGTTAGCAGTGATCTCTATTGAAAACAGTGTGGCACGGTCTATTTCATTTGATGCCATTCTTGACAAATGGGCGAGTGCAAAGGCACGACATGTAACAATTTAGTGGTAACATTGTTACATAGAGAACAAACTGTTGTTCAGATGTCATAATTTCATATTTCCACTACAGAGAATATATTGAGCACTGGGTGCCGCTGCTGTTACATGTTATTACATTATTATGCATTATTTTTTGTTTTTGATTGAGCTGATCACCTGCTGTACTATGTAACTTAAAATAAAAGTCTGTACTAATAGTCTTATATTTTATAAGTCCATGAATCAATAAGATTTACACAGGTAAGCATTATGAACAAAATCCGGTCGGGTGGGGGGGGGGGGGGGCTGTAATGTGTCTGCATACCCCTCAGAAAGTAGGTAGTTGCGCCCCTGTACACACAAGAACAGACAAAGAAACTAAGGTGATGTACACTTGACAAGGTGTTTATACATGTACGTGTATAAATTACAGGTGCTTATCATTGGTATGAAATATTCTGTATGTCAAAAAATACAGTTTGCTTGAAAACAAAACCTTTTTTATGATCGTGGAAACAAAACTGAAAAGTCTGAACATTCTGATGATTTAATAAAAATTATTTTATTTGTCCTTCAAGCAGCAGAAATATAAATAAAACATTTAAAAATACAAATGTGAAAACAAGAATTAGCCTAACAGCAGCACATCTTCAGTGTTAAATTAAATACTTATAACTGTGATAAAGTTTCTTTGTGGGTTTAAAGATCTGTTAGAATATGTAAATATTTTATATTTATTCTCTAATAATTATTTCAAACACTGATCTTTTCGCAGCAGCAGCCTGTAGCTCTGCAGCTCTCACACACTGTACACACATCAACATCTATACACACATATTTAAATTAGAATATAATGAAATAAAACAATAAATACTTCATTGTTTTATTTTATATTTGTCCTACAGCAATTTGCAAATATATTTGTAAAATAATATTCATAAAAAAATAATTAATTTTTTGTTTGATGTTAAAAATGTGGACATTTACAATAACATAAAAAAATAATTAAAATAAAATAATTTTTCCACCAAAGAAACGATCTGCGCATGTGTCCAACTACAACTCCCATAAGGCATCTGTTCTGAGGACGCAAATCAACGCCCGCGTAAGATCCAGCCAATCAAAGCCCCGGCAGCCGTGTGCGTCATCATCTCTGACCTCAATATCTCGGTGTATTTTTTTCTGAGGGAGAAAGACGGATGCTGGCGGCGCCATATTGAAAGAAGAAAATTGTCACATAAAACGTTAAAACGCGAAAGTTCCCGCCATGTTGTACCTGGAGGATTACCTGGAGAGTGAGTATGGGACGGTACCGGAGCGGCAGCGGCTCCGTGGGCCCGTTTCTGACCGTGAAATGTGTGTGTGTGTCCGGCCGTTAGCCTAGCCGTGCTAACTGCTGTTTGTCCTCCTGGCAGTGATCGAGCAGCTTCCCATGGATCTCCGCGACAGGTTTACGGAAATGAGAGAGATGGACCTGCAGGTTCAGAGTAGGTACAGCCCGCCGGTTACCGGCGCATCACACCGGGACCCAACACACAGATACACACGTTACTAACACACACACACACACACACACACACACACACACACACAGAGCAGCTCCGTAACGATTCATTCACACATGAAACATCAGACTCCATCACTCTGTGGTTAGCATGAGAGTTAGCATAGCATGCTAACAGCTAACAGACTGAAGTTAGAGTTTATTTACTGAACACAGCTGTTTGTTGTCTCTGCTGCATCACACATCACTCTGACGTCACCTGAGTTTATTTAACTCACCTCCATGATGTGGCAGCTGCACATAAACTGTAGACTTGAGGTGTGATGTCAGTATTTCTCACTGCAGGAACACTTAATGTGTTTGACTGTGGAGCCTTCATGTTTTGGACAAACAGCAGTCAGTGCAAACAACAACACAAACAATGGACATAAACTAAACTATAATCTCTTATGAAGATGTAAAATAAATGTTTCTCACTGCAGGAACACTTAATGATCTTGTGTTTAACTGTGGAGCTTTAATGTCCAATCAGTAACATAATGTTTCACCAAGAAGCTGCAGCAGCAAACAGGAGAAAACAACACAAACAATAAAGTAAACTAAATCAGTGGTTTTCAACCAAAGCACAAACCAAGAGCTCATCTCTGTGACTCTACAATGTGTGTTATTATCACTCTTATAACCACGTAAATGTTTGTAATTTAACAACCTTGATATAAGTAAATAAAAACATTTTTTTAGGAAGAGCTTGTCTCGTTGTGAGGAGATGTGTGTGCACAACACACTGATTACAAATCAAATTAAAATGAGAAACTCATGCAGGTCATAACATGTGTATGGGCTCAGTTGAGCATCTCAATAATAATGTGTGGTTAGCACAAAATCCCACGGCACACCTGGAGGCACACCTTGTGAGAACAGATGAACAGATGACCTCCTGTAACACAGAGGACAGAAATGATTTTATTTATTCTACACCTGATTATTGCAGCTCCTTATATTCATGTTTGGGCCCTGATCACACAGGACGTGTTGTGCAGGTTGTAAAACACAAAGCACACGGCACTGCCTTTTTTTGTTAATATAATGCTACTAGTAAAGCTTTTTATTGTTGCCAGGCAACCACCCCATCACCTTCTCACGCTAATCTTCCTGTGTCATCAATCTACAGTTTGTGTATCCTGCAGTAATCAGTGTGTAGCTGCTGCCATGTTGAGGCAGAGGGTGCTGTCTGTAGCTCTGGTTGAGGGTGAGAGGCTGTCAGCAGATAAACAGAGATCTGTGTGGGTACATGAGACCCTAAAAAAGAGGCTGGATCATGGGGAGTACCACCAGTTGGTCCAGGAGCTTCTCCTCCATCATGGATGTTTACAGGCAGATTTTAGGATGACTCAGGGGCAGTTTGACAATCTGCTGTCTATCATCAGGCCGTATAGCTCTGGGTATCCAGCAACCACTACCACCAGTTTCTCCTCCATTGTTTACCAACTATAAACTTGTTGTCATGACCACCACAGAAGCCCCGCCTCTCACATCATCCCGTTGGACAATGGGGAGAAAAACAGAGATGACATGGAGCGCTTTTCTGCTCTGAGTTGAAGTTTTTTCAGCTCGAGGAGTTCAGAGCGCAGGAACAGCAAGCAAAAATCTTTTATTTCATCATTCTCATTAAAACCGTGATATAAAAGTGAGCACGTCACACGTGTCTGAGCATCACGGCACCGCCTTCCTCTCCGTTTTAGAATTAATCTAAAAATGTTGTTCCTCACCTTTAAAGCACGACTCGGACCAGCTCCTGAGTTTATGATGGATGTCTTAATGAACCCAAACGTACTCTGACATCATCACGTCAGCCGTGTCTTCTGTTCGCAGGAAGGATTTAATAACCAGACGGTCTAAGGCACTTTCAGAGCGCACAAACTGTGGAGCGCACTTCTTGTTCAGATACCATCCTCTACATCTGTATCCACTTAAACACATGTTTATAGGTTGGCATTTCTATAAGGTCCCAGTGTTAACTGTCTGTGTATGTGTGTGCTGAAGTGTGTGCACAGAGCATGTGTGTGTGTGAAGGTATATTTACACGTTTGTTTTTATCACTTTACAGACTTACAGACAGTTTTATTGTTTTTGAAAGGTGCTTTATAGTTACATGTGTTATTATTATATTAATCCTGAGGAGACTTCAGAGGCTGTGTGATGCTGTCATATTTTCTGAGGTGGTTAACACATCATTGAACTCTTGTTGCAGCCCTGGATCACACAGGTCTGAGTGGCTGCTGAAGCTACAGATGCTGCGTTCTGTCTAAACTGAGTCATTGTCTATATTTTATAGGTTATAGATCTGATCTGATGTTAATGTTCTCTCAGTAACCATAAACACTGTGTCTCATTCAGACGCCACGGACCAGCTGGAGCAGAAGGTGATCGAGTTCTTCGTCAACGCCAAGAAGAACAAACCTGAATGGAGAGAGGAGCAGATGGAGGTCATTAAAAAGGTCAGAAACACATTTGATGACACGCTGCTCTGTGTGTGTGTGTGTGTGTGTGTGTGTGATGTCACATGTGATGCTCCTGATCTGTGTGAGTGTTGTCATGTTAAACTAACACACTGTCACAGATCATCATGTGAACGTTTCGTCCCTCCTCTGCAGGAAACAAAAGGTTCATGTGTCCTCACTGTGTTTCAGGATTATTACAAAGCTCTGGAAGATGCAGATGAGAAAGTCCAGCTGGCCAATCAGATTTATGATCTGGTGAGTGAAGAGTTAAAGTGTCCTCACTGTCCTTCTACATTATAATGTGTTGTAATAAGTGATGTACAGTCAGAGCAGATACTGATGGTAGGGTGCAGGATAATATCTGCATGTCACTGGTATCAGCTGGTGTTGGCTTTAAGGTGAGATATAAATTATGACACGTGAACATGTGGAAAACATCAGGTGAGTGATCCAGCACAGGTAACAGAACAACATGGCTGAGTCCCACAGTGCTGTGCTGTCCTCTCAGCATCCACCAACTCAGCTGCTAAGCTAGCAGGCTAAAGTCCACACTGGTTAAAAGTTGCTGAAGCAGCTAGCTAGATGCTAACAGGCTCCGTGTTTACAGTCAGTTCCTGTTATGTTTTAGTGTATTATCATGTCTCTGACTGTGAAATAATAAAATACGTTAAATAAAAGTTCAGATTGTTTGTAATCACACTCCTGAAGATGAAAATGTGATATTGATTGAGACAGTGATCCATCCTGATTGATCAGTGATCGGATTGATCACTTTAAATCTTCAGCAGGTGATGAAACATGTCGACAGTTGTTTGAGCTCTGTTTGATTTGTGTCAGTGTCACGGTGCGTCACGTATTCAGTGTGTCATCATGTGTTGATTATTATTGATCCATCACAGAGACGCTATTGTTGTTGTTACAGCTGGGGGGTATTCCATCAAGCAGGCTACAGGCAAATCCAGGCTTAAATGGCCAAGTCTGGCTAATGTGAGCCAGAGTTCTGTTCCATCAAAGTGGCTAAGATTAGCCTCACATCGGTAACCATGGAAACCATGGTTCTGGCTAAGCCTGATACATCGAGCGAAACTCAGGTTTCTGTTCCATCAACCTGAGCCACAACTCCGTTCCATCAAGGTGGTTAACCTGAATCCCAGCCTAGTAACCATGGTAACTTATGCTGCCGGGCAATCCTGGTGTGTAGCAGGATTAAGGTGAGGATTAGCTCCATTTATGATCAACACATGTTCAATAGACAAGAACAGACACCTAAAAGACAGTTCTGCCAGAGCTTTACACACTCACAACTGTCACGTGATGATAAAATAATATGTAGATCATAAAATATATAACATAATTAATAAAAAAAAACAAATTAAAATTTAATAAAAAATAAGATAATTAAAAAAAACACAACAGTAAAGCCAAAATCAATTTAATAAAAACAAAACTATAATAAAATGAAACTGAGGCATTAAAAAAAGATTGTACATGAATATGTGATTGCCCTCCATCCCCACCCCACTGTGTTTCCAATTGGCTAGCAAATTCACAGCCAATTAAGGTCAACTGACACCGGCCAGAGAAGGAGAGGGACACACCCAGAGAGACACAGAGACAGAGAAAGACAGAGTAAATTAGGAAATAATGGCATGACCCTTCATCGAGGATCCTGTTGATGAGGAGGCCCACATTGTCCAGAGCCTTCCAACCACCACC